ACCTATGTCACCATGAGCTGCTCCAAAGTACCTCTTCCCATGCCACTCCCAATTACCCCTGCCGTCGTCATCGGTGGCCATAATACGCTCTGTAAGTCTCTTGATCGGAGATTCAACGAGACTCTCACTCTTAGGAACCCAGTGTTTCACCATACGCAACATGTATAATGCACCTGCCCGCCCATAGGGTATCTCTGATGGAAAAGCATCGTCCTGGGGGCTCGTATAGGGACCAAGAAGTATTGGTATATTGCTCAGGAAGGTTATCAAGTGATCCTCCTCCTTGGTTATGCACGCTCTTACTGCTTCGAATGATAGTTTCTCGGACGATATGCCGCAGTTGCCCTTCTCTAGGACCAACTTTCCACGGTCTCCTTCCAGGTAGCGTTTCGCCCAAGATATCAAGTCTTGGCCAGAGATTTTCAGATCTGGATATAGTTCGGACAGTTGAAGGAACAGGTAAGCAAGACCAGTGTACCCGGTGAAGAGACCGCCAAGATGGCGTTCGTGGTAGACCTCACGAGGCGGCGTATGTCTTACGACGAGTTCAAGAGCATATGTGAGGAGCTCTTTGGGATCCGAGCCGAGTTTCTGGGGAGGCAAGTTATTCGAGATGTATCGTTGAGTCATGTTGGCGGCGATGGTATATGCATTCGTGAGTTCCTGGTAAAGCTATCGAGAGCGGTTCGCGTTATCATTATCTGGATCAGGCTGTCCTTAATGTCATGATGTTATACTGGTACACGCGCTCCTAGTGACGCATACCTTTCATCTTTTGGGGATGATCAGCAACACGTTACCATGTAATTGGAGGAGGGGCAAAAGACGAGGCTCACGCGACAGAACATACCACCAATGTACAAAAGAATAGGCTCTCTAGACACGACAAAAGAGATTATAATAGGCTCAAAGGCCAGGTTTGAAACAGGCCTGCCTTGTTCCAAGGTTGATCGCTTACTATATACGGCTCATGACAAACAGACGTCAGGGTTAGCCGGAGCCCTACGCCGATGGTGGGTCATGAGCTCCCGGCAGAGGTGGGTCCTCTGGGACATTTCTTCCGGCGAGGCGTTGATGTGACGTTGGAGGCGGGGTTACAGGGTTAATAGGTCGTTCTTGAGAAGAGGAGAGAGAATCACTTGGCAGAAGTACTGCATACCATCTGAATATAAGTGATGGAACTCTTATATCAGAAGTTGTCAAAAAGCGTAACATACACATCATCGTCACTGGGGTTACGTAGAAGCCTGTGACGATTTAAGGTAGCCCCACTCGTAGGGCTTTGAGGTGCCAATGACGACATCGATTAGAGCTTCTCTCCCTTCAGCTTCCATGGTTTAGGGTGGAATGTCAAGCTTGTGATTGCCAACCTCGCAGTGTCATAAACAAAGCGAACCATATCACCTCTTTTTTCACTTGACAACAAAAGTGCTCTTATAACGATTCGTTTCTGTACACGATCACCAGAATCGCAAACTTAACCCGACTTTCGCATTCGACAAACTACCATGGCCGACACAGCTGAAGCTTCGGGAGCTGATCACCAGCAGGAACCCGCCAAGCGCAACAGAGTGGTTGACTCTGTTGGAGGGAAAGCTCAAGAAGTCTTGTACGTATAAAATTACATTGATTCTCTCTCTCTCTCTTTTTTTTTTCTTCTTCTCGGAGCTGACAACATCACTAGTAAGGAGGACTATGCCCAGGCTCGAGAGCATGTCGCCAGCGCTGCCAAGAGCCGATCCTACCTCTACCCGATCAAGGTACAGTATCTCCCCGCTTGACCCCCAGAGAGGTCACTTGCTAATGTAACACGTCTTGAACAGGGAATTTTCTACTTCCTCTCCCATCGCTCACTTTGGAAGCCATTCATCTCCAAGCTTGGTCCGCTGGTCCTCCTCTCTACCGGTGTCATTGGTGGCATGTTCTTCTTTACATACTTGCCACAGCTCGCCGTACTATTTTTCGTGAATGGCCCTATTGCGCCCTTCTCTGCCGTTCTGTTGGTTCTCAATGAGAGTACCACCATCATCAACCTTGTGTCTCGCAACTACCTCCTTCAAGATGCCCTTCTGGATGTGTTTGATGGTACACTCCTTGCCCGTGGAGCTACCCAAATCGTGGGCGAGGGCCGAGAGGTCAAGTCTGGGTCAGATCCGATGCAGAAGCTTGGCAAGATCATCAAGAGCCCCTTTGAAAAGTTCAGCCCCAAGGCCATTGTCCGCTATGTGATGTACCTGCCTCTCAACGCCATCCCGGTTGTTGGTACGGTCATCTTCATCCTCATTCAAGGTAAAAATGCACCATGAATATTTATATCACTCCACTGACCACACATAGGTCGCACTCGAGGCAAGGGAGTTCACGGTCGAGTAAGTTGTCTATCAACTGGAGTTTGACCAGAGCTAACAGTGTTCGTTCTAGTATTTCCAACTGAAGAAATGGACGCAGCCCAAGAGAGAGGATTGGCTTACCAAGAATGTTGGCCCCTACACGGCGTACGTATTTATAATTTGCTTCCTGGTTGACCGCTGGTAGCACAAATGAGCCAAATTTAGCTAACTGAAATTTGTAAAAGATTCGGACTAGTTGCCACTCTTCTCGAGATGATTCCTGTTGCTTCCATGTTTTTCACATTCAGTAACACAGGTAAGTCTGAAGCGAGCTCGCATTACGCCAAGCTAACGTCAACAAGTTGGAGCTGCCCTCTGGGCTGCTGATATTGAGGATAAGAATGCCTCGATGACTGATGGAACTGCCCCTACTCTGCGTGAAACCGCAAAAAAGGCCGAATAAGCGCATTTGTCTTCGCACAACAGGAAGCCTCAAAGCCACGCAACATCCATGATCTGCGAGACATTGTGTCCGAAACACGAGAGCAAGATTAACGATATGGGTTTGATTCTGATAATTCTGAGGGGTGAAGGTTAGTAAAATATGGGGGATACATGAGGCAATCACGAGTCCCTGCCTACCTATCTAAGGCACCTACCTTCACCTTATATACAGGCGAGCGCTTTCGTAAACCCAATGCAGGAAGGAATGTCCATTAGGTAGATACATCAGTCAGGAAGGAAGGAATGGTCGAAAGAGATGTCTTAGGTAGTTCTAGGTTCAGGTGCCAGTTTTCTTTTTCGCAAAACTTTCATCGTCTCGATTTGTCTCATTCTTTACACGTCAACGTGAGCCTCGCAACTATCCCCCTATTTGAATTTCAGAGTCTTCGCTGTTCAAGATGAAAACGCGCCAATGTCTGAGTCTTCGCTTAAGATCTGCTCTTGAGAGCAATCAGGTTCAGGACTGGAACCACCTTCACCTTTTGAAACGTTGATCCTCTTTCGAGAAAATTTCAACTGCGAGCCTTGACCCTTGTCGTTGTTCTTGGTTTGACTGACAATGCCACGAGACGGCATCTTCCAAGTTTTCATTGTCACTCATACCTAGTCATCCAAGAAAACGATGAAGAATTAGCGCTCTTCTATACGCCTGGACGCTAAACAAAGACAAACTCAATGCGTCACAGAACATTTCACCCCTGATGCGACCCGACGGCAAGCTGCATCTCGCCTCGTTGCCGAGGCTCGTTACTGGTGCCATGTCTGCACGGATGATGTAAAGTCTGGGATTCTGGCCCTCAGACTGTGAAACCTCAAACAACCAGGCCGTTGATCCCCAACGGTCAAAGGCCCGACGTGGTTTGTGTTCCACCGCTTAACGCGGCCAAGATCTCGTCTATCAACAGTTTACCAATGCAAGTTAGATCCCGCAATGCGAGTCAGAGCGAGATACGGCCGTACGAGGGTTAATTTGATACAGGTCATGTGTGACCTGACGAGCCAGCGAGTTTCTTCACTAGAGTGAAAGGCACAGCTCCCAAACATATGATCACTTGCTTATTCTCGACATGTCTTGGAATATGATGTACAGAATATCACTGGATATCGGCAGGAATAGGCTGGCTCATACTCAAGTGAGATCAATTCTGGAAGCCATCCTTTTTGTGTTGTTTCCTCGAAGAAACATGATGGGAGATGAAGGATGGCCTGTGACATGGCACGCGGAAACAATCACCGGCTGATGAAGCAGAGGCGGTAGCAAGGACACTTCCTACATGCAATCAAGCGACAATACAACCCCAAACTCAAGTTTCTTGTCCTAAAAGATGAAGGGGAAAACTAAATAAGCATCGGCAACAGCTGTATAAGCTCATCTCCATTGTATCTACCTCTATGTCATAAGAAGACGGAACTATACGCCTGTCCAGGATCCCGGGATCGCTTCCATCGGGAGGAAGGCAAGCAATCAGCCGGACATGTTCTGTTGGGTACCAAGAAGGCTATATACTATCATAAACAACCGGAGCACCGCGGACGACGGTCCAATCTAGCAAAACATATCCAAAAGCCGCCACCGCAATGACACAGATCCAAGCACTTGTAACCCATTGGACCTGAAAATACAGCTTGTACGCTCATGCTGTGGCAGGCTTTCAGGGGTGAACTCAAATATCTGGCATTAGAGGGTACTTTCCGCCTATAAGGGTGCAAGATATGTGCCCCTTTGCCTGTCACTGGCAAAATTCTTGTGACAGCTGCTGCCAGTTGCAGCATGCTTTGTATCTCCTATCTTTTGCGCTGTTCATGATTCACTCACTCCTACGTATGCCTTGAACTGCTTGACTACTTTTCTTCTTCTTTCTTCTCACTTCTCACTTCTCACTTCTCACTTCTTCTGCCCTTCTTTTCTTCCGCTTCACAAGTCTCGCTTTCGTGTTCTCATCACCTCGAGGAAGCATCAAGAAAATAATATCCTAGGAGTCGACAATCACTCGTTTGCCTGTATCCTTTATTCTACCATCGACTCATCCACTCGTTTAAACACTTCTGTAATAAACCCTGTTCACCGAATCGTTCTGGTGAGTTCAAAAAGCAATATCTGCGTTTGCTTGAGGATGAACAGTATTCGCTGACCCAAAGAACCAACAGCACTACAACATCTTCATCATGAGACCACCTAACATTCCTTTGTTCACCGTCCTATCGGTGCTTCTAATGCTATCTTGTCTTCTGGGGAGCGCAGCCGGGCTTGGTCCCCAGCAGCATCGGGGTGCTCGCAAAGATGTGCGCGGCAATACTTTCATCGAAGCTCGCAATCCCTTGGGTAACGCTCTCGCTGATGGTTATGGTCCACCGCCTCCCTATTATACTGGGGAACCAGTTGCTCCAACTGATTTGACTTCTCGTTAGTATTACGCTCTGACTCAAGGTCCTCCTCAAATCTAACATTGTCAGATCACACTCTCGAGGAGTCCACTGCAACAGAAACTCCGACTGGAGCTTCCCAAGCTAGTGTGACATCTAAGTCAAATGTTTCTTCTCACTATGATACTGTCTCTTCTGGCAGCTCCTCTCTCTCTGTATCCTCAGCACTCGAGACCGACACTGCCATGATAACTGTCGGTTCAAGCGCCAAGGCTGGCAGTACATCCGGCTCCGAGGCATCGTCGAGTGTTCACTTAACAGCTTCGGGCTCTTTCCTTGGGACTGAGACTTCTGGTGCTGAAACTTCCTCAATTTCACCTGGTCAAGTTTCTACTATTTCGGGTACTAATTCTTCGTTGACTGGCACTTATCCCTCTGCGGACACCTCATCACCCGGGACGGTAACTGCATTGCCTTCAGGTTCTACCTCATCTGCCACAGTCTCTGGTTTCTTTAATGAAACAAATGCAATCACTGAGAGTGTCTCACACACACAAACAATGTCGAGTGCTGAAGCTTCAGGTGATTTCACTACAACGGAGCTTACTTCTCGCTTCGAGAGTAGCGTAAGAAAGGTTGGGTCGACAACAACGACAACAAAAATGCTTAATGTTACAGTGACAGTCGCACCCAGTTCTTTAATGAGTATTTCATCAAGCCTTTCATCTCTGAATGTCCCCATGACTGCAGATGAAACCACGACAGTCACAGTCATCCCACAGCAAAACTCATCTGAACTTTCTACTGGCGGTCTTGCTACTGATACTGATTCGGCGGCGCACTCAACATTGGGCAGTCTGGCCACTGAATCAACCAAGCCTGTCGCAATCAGAAGCACTCTGACCGAGGCAGCTATTTCAGAATCGACTCAAAAGTCCACCCTGGCTTCGAGCATTCCTGTCAATGGAACTGTGAGCTTCACTACTAGTACTACTGCCTACTTCACTACAACAGTTGGAGTTCCTGTCTCATCTTCTGTTCTGTCAAGTTCATCTGGCATTTCAAGACCTACTATTGTTGCTTCTGATGACTCGTCGGGGGCTGGAACAGGAGACTCATCGGCGATCATGGCATCTATTACCGTTTCTTTTTCCACCACAGTTACCACGAGCAAGACATACACTGCACTCAACGTCACCTCTCCAGCAACAAGCTCTTCTTTCTCTTCAGTTCCGACCTTCGTGACTAGCGCGAGCGTTGGTGTTTCCGAGTCAAATGTTGCTACAGCCTCGAACCAAATGTCTTCGGAGACTCTCTTTGCATCAACAGCTCTACCCATCAATGCGACCTCCGACTCATTCACCAAGTCCTTCGTTGTGACTACTGTGTCTGAGGGCTCGGTTATTACTGTCTTCCCAGGCGGTATCATTCCAACCGAGAGCGCTTCAAGTATGATGAACAACTCTGTTTCTACACAGTATTCCACATCTGCCCCTTCGCGCTTCAATTCGTCAATGTCCATCAGACGGACTTCATTGTCTTCTCAGACAGACTCCTGGTTTGACTGGCCGACTTCGACGCTGACGACTTTGCATACTTCGGAAGCAACTTTGGAGGTTCCGTCACTTTCTTTTCCAAGCTCTTGGCTCTCGATCATTACCACGGCAATGACGCCTCCCAGTGTGTCTACAACGTCAACTCGAGGCCCAACTGATGGCTCAGCACTTGGCAACGTAACGGTGATCAAGACAACAATGACTTCTACCATCACTAGCAGTCTCGCACCAACAAGCCTATCCTCGTCTGGCAATGTCACAGTGGCCCATACCACTAGTGGGTACAACTTTTCTAAAAGTGTGGGATCCAGCAAGAGCGCATTCAGTTCTCAGTCGACCTCTCTCGACAGCTTTTCTGGTATCAGTACCGTCATCATATCTAAGCAGCCTACCAACTTCCCCTTTCCAACCAACACAAGCTTGGTTCGGCAGTCAGAAACATCTTCAATGTCACTCTCTGAATCTATCAAAACCACCGGCCCCAAAGGCAGTGATGCTACATTCTCTGTGACAACAGCTGGGTTCAATAGCACTGCTCCTTATACCAACTCGACTACCATTACGGCCAGTGAAACATATCCTTCAAGTAATGGGGATGGGTCGCCGTCTATAATTACTTCAGGGGCCTCTGCGTCGTGGAACACGACTAACAGCGCTCAGAGGTTCACCAACTCAACTATCCAGACAGCAGTTACCGCTGCCCACACTGGCTCTGATCTAGTTTCTGGAACTCAAACTTTGAGCGATACAGCTGCCGTCACTCCTCAACCGCCCGCTTCGCTAAACGTTACACTCACCACGTTCACAGATGTGAAAGCAACTATCATTATGCCGACTTTCTCGACGACATCTGAGAGCAATTCACGCCCAACAGTATCGACAAGCGCGGCCCCCTTCCCTCTTCCATCAAACGCCACATTGACGGGAACTGGCGCTTCCCTTCCACCAAGTGGTACAGGGCCTCGAATCACCATTACCGGAACCTTGGGAGACTTTTCAACCTCCAGTGTGACCATTTCACCATCGGTCGGGACAACCTATCACACTGCGAACACCACAGTGGCTGGCACCACGACTGATACTTCGACGTCTGCTTCGGGAACAAATGAGCCACTCTTCCCGGTCTCCAACTCGACGAGTTTGGGCACTATCAGTCTCTCGACAATCGTTTCATGGAGGCCAGATCCTGAGCCATGGACGAGCTGGCCAACATTGAGTCTCACGAATGAGCCAGGTATCTCCACATGGACTGTAAATAGCGAGGTTTCAGAATGGACGTCGGACACTCGAACCACCACCAAGTCTTTGACTCCTACTTCAGTAGAGCCAAGCATGTCCCACTCTTCTGCTCACAACCTCAGCAGTGCAACCTCGGGGTCAACCTCTTATACTCGTACCACAACTGTGACCCTCACAGCCACTTTGGAAGAGTCCAGCACGTCCCCGTCCACGAGTGGCAACAGGAGCAGTGCAGCCTCAGAGTCCAATTCATATACTCGTACAACAACCGTATTCCGCACTACGACTTTGGGAGGGCCAGGCGCGTCATCATCTGCCCTCAACAGCTCAAGCAGTCGTGATTCCTTGCCAACCTCATACACTCGTACTACGACATTGACTCTTACAACTACTTTGGCAGAACCCCCAACATCTCAAATATCTGGGGCTGCAGTTACAGATTCATCAGTTTCCACATGGGCTGACGTAACCTCCAAGGTCACTGACTTAACGAGCACAGAGACTATCTCATTGGCCACTGTTACATCGTCGCTCTCCGGAACACTGACAACTTTCTTGACAACTGGTAGCGCAAAGGGGATATCGACCAGCCTTGAGAGTTCCGCCTTGGCACCAATCCCAGTGGGTAACTCAACTCTATCACAGGCTTCTGGGAGAGCATCTTCGGGAATTGATACTTTGACGGGCACACACTTGTTGACTGGCTCAGCGGGAACAGCTACTCCATGTGAATCTACGTCTACTAGCTCATCGACCTGTACGGAATCAGTGTACGACGCCCCGACCCATACAGCCATTCCAGCTAGCACCGATTGCTTGACTGCAACGAATCGACCAGACTTATCGCTGTCATACGTATCGGCAGTAACAGCCACTGAAGACGTCTCATCGACCTGCAACACAACAAGCAGCACGGTGCATTGGTTGAACATGACTCACACATTTGGTGTAAAAGGTTTGTGATATTCTTGATGGGTGAAATCGCCAAGCTAATCAAGATCAGATACTGAAACGAGCACCTACCAGCCGCTTACAACCTTGCGGACAGTCACAAAAGCGCAGACTGAAGAAGGATCGGGATCGGCTGGGGACGATTATCCTACGCCCACAGACAGGTCCCCCGAGGATCCCAACTTTCCATGGGGCAATGACTCCCCAATCCATCGTCATCAGAACTCGTCTGAGCTTAGCCCTGGCGAAAATGACGGCGATGGCGATGGAGGTCTGAGCAAGAGAAGCAGCTGGCGCCTGCGGTGGGAGAATGTCAGAGACAAACTGGAAGGTCTCTGGCGTGGACAGGCTTTGAAGTCGGAAGACTAAGTAAGTCCCAGGAGGAAGAAGGCATGATTTGTATTGTGTTTGTAAAACATTTCCTGATTATGAAGGGGATTTTATTTCTTTCTACGGACATGTTGGTTTTCCTTGTATGGACTCCATTTCTATTCTCATTCAGCCCTGTTTGTTGACTTCGATTTCGGTTTCGGTATTTCGGGCAACTTGAGGGTCCGGTCAGGGATCACAGTGGTCAGACCAGGCCAGTCAGGACAGGGAGCCTTGGTGTATTGCGAGACGAGACTTGCTATGAGTTGGCTGAAAACACAGACGTTACGGGTGTGTGTACAAGACTTATATAGTTCATGGTATTAATCGTGTCGAGATTATAATACGTATCGTTTTTCTTTGACCAACTCATCTGGTACGGGCCTTTTTGATCGCGTGCTTTATAACAGATAACTTCCTAGGTGCCTATGGATGGATGTGAAGGTGAGACATGTGAGTGGATCATTGGTATTCTTGGCTGGTAGAGAGTACTACGAATCGAATATGTACGCGTATTGCCAAGAGATAGGGACAGATGTAATCACCTAAATAAAGAAGCCGGCAAATTGATTGTGATTAACACGACAAGTTTGCTGACTCAGTTCACGAAAGTGTCTCTTACTGAGGTATCTTGGGAGTGTACGTTGTAGATGTAGGTATGTGAATAATTGTGTCAGGTACCTAAGTACTAATGTATGTAGGTAGGACCTGCGATTGCCTTTTTCTGACCAACGGTGGACGGTAAGTGGGCAAGAGGCAGGAAAGTGCATGAAATAGCTGAGCCAATCACGTTGGCGCAAGAAAGAAAAAGTGAAGTTAAATTCGTCGTCATCGGCAGGAGGGGTCGTTCCTTCCGGCTCCAGATACTTAACCCAAAGCGGATCCCTTGCCACCGAGACATCCGACGCCTCAAGAGTACCTAAGGTAAAGCACGTTACCATCAGCTGCACTTGATCCTTTTCCTCTTTTAATCCTTTCTTTATTAACTATTCCACATCACTAAACAATCCCAGAAAACATCGCCATCATCCGTATCATCGCCAAACCAATCAACCAATCACATACTGACACCCGAAAACTCCATCACACCATGCTTTTCAAGCCGCTCGCCCTTGCAGCGACCGCCGCTGCTGTGCTCATCGTCCCAGAGACCTCAGACAAGGACGACAGCATCTTCCGCACTCTTCCCATCGAGGTCGACACTTTCGAGATTCCCGAGACCGCCTATGGCCAGGTCGTCGACGTCCCTTGCCTTCAGTGCCGTGGCCATAATAGCCAGCTCGAACTCAATTTCGGCATTCAAGACCGTCGCCTGGTATTAAACGGTTTCGAACTCTATCCTCACGCCGACCCTTGGAATGGAGACCTGTCGGCTGCTGTTATCAAGGCCAACGGCAAGAGCGATATGCGACGACTGGGATACGGCTTGGCTATCCGCCCTGAAGGAGTCGATAAGGATCAACATCTCGAGGTTGTCAATGTTGAAGTCAGGATCATCGAAGTCGGCGACCGTTTCGTCGATGGCGTCCCTCCTGTCACAGTAAAGCTCATCAAGGCTCCTGTTGGCGAGATCATCATCGGAAGCATCGAGGTCAAGGGCGATGGCGAGAAGGCACCAGAGGACTGTGATATGTGGTGCCGCGCCAAGGGTATGGTCCACGATACCTGGAAGGATGTCAAGGGCAAGTTCAAGGGCAAGGGCTGCCACGGAATGAAGGGTAAGGGTAAGGGACATGGTCACGGTCGTAAGCCCCATCACGGTCATGGTAAGGGCGAGAACAAGCCTACCGACAACTTCAAGCACGGTCCTCTCGTCAACAAGGCCCCCGAGCAGTCGTGGAGTGATGTTTTCACACACGTCACGGCATATATTATCATCCCTGTCCTTATGGGTGTTGCTGCCGGTGTCGGAGTTGCATTGTAAGTTCATATCCTGCTATTCCTCAATTTGTATACTAACATATTCAGTTTCACCATGTTCCTTTGCGCCATGGTCCTCCGCGTGATCCGTATGTTCAAGGGCGAATCCGCCGAGTCCGAGTCAGAGCTTGCCCCTGGTGCTGCTCACAAGGCTACCATCGCTGAGATGCTTGTTGAAGACGAGAAGTCCGGTCTTATGGTCGATGAGGAGGCTCTTCCCCAGTACGAGCCACGCAACTAGAAGTCGATTTCTGAGACTCTGTACTTGCCCGCATTTTAGCCGTGGTTGATAGAAAAGGGGAACACACACTACCAACACAGCCTTCTACGGCAGGTGTGTTATTGATACCAAAGATTGTATGTTTTTTAAAGGATTCGGGCTCGGGATAGGCGTTATGAGTATGGTGGATGGGATTATGTCTTATGAACTGGATGGCTACGTACGCGTCAGACTCGGCCGTCGTGGCTTTATTTGGTAACGATTTGAAATTGTTACTGTCCCTTCTTTAGAGATTCAGCGGTGTCTTATCAGTTATGGACGGTCTAGGCACTCACTGTTGGCTAAACTTGAACTATATCGAAAAATTACCTTACATTCATACACTCGTCTCAGATTTACTCTGTAGGAACTTGATGTATTCGGTATATGCGACCAAGATCGCCAATTACACACAAGATACTGCGTAGTACGGAGTAATGCTACCCAGAGTCTACATCCCCCACAGGCTGTGGACCCTGAATGGGCACTATCCGCTCACACTCTAAGTTAGCTTCCACTTTGGGGGAGCATCCGCGATCCAAAGTCATCAAGTGTGGATAGAAAGATCATGTTGTATGCGGGGTTTCGACTCGCTCTATTCTAGCCCGACCCCCGAGTTTAGCTACTTATATAACTAACTACTTGTTCCCGTGGTTGCTACACTACTTCGGTCCTGTTTTGTCTCAATTTACTACTGTCACTCTCACTGTCACTCTCACAGTACAGTCCGCCGCTTATAAACACAACATGTCACAAACAGCTCGCCGATTCGCTCAAATCGTCAAACTGAGGCCTCAGCACCTCGCTGAGTACAAGGAGGTTCACGCCAGAGTCTGGCCCGACGTCCTCAAGCAGATCCAAGAGTGCAATATTCGAGACTGTATGGCCTATCCTGAGGTGTATCTACAGGGCAATTGTAATAGAGACTGATCGCTTGTATAGACAGCATTTTCTACGATGACCAGAGCCACATTCTCTTCGCCTCGTTCAAATACATCGGCTCAGATTACAGTGGCGACATGGAAAAGATGGCAAAGAACCCCCGTGTGAGGGAATGGTGGAAGATGACAGACGCTTGGCAGGAGAGTCTCGTGCCTGGTGCAGTGAGCTCTGAGGCTGGCGAGCCTTCTTGGTGGAAGCCAGTTGAGGAGGTCTTTTATCAACCTTAAGGTAAATAGAAATAGAATGCAACATAAAATTCAGGAGTGGTACAAAGAAAAGTCACAGACAGACACTCCGGACTCATAAAGAGCTTATGATTCAAATCTCTTTACGATTCATGGCATCGAGTATCAAGTCCCGAGGCGTCTATCTTTTGGTACAACCCCCTTGCTAATCTCGCTCACGAGTGTTACATACTGTAAAAGGGGGGGTAGTAGAATAGAATAGGATAAGATGAAAAGGGCGCCTCCGAGATGCCTATGCAAAATTCTTCCTCCTTTGTTTCTTTTCTTTTCTTTTCCCGTCTTCTTCTTCATCAGTCCCGTTACTTTATCCCACGCTCATTACCATCCATGGCCCGGCCCTGGCGAAGCTGAACTGAAGCAAATAACGAAACGAACGCACTAGACCGACGCCATCATTGCGAAATGCATATTTACCTATGTTCATGCCTTATATACAGTGTCTACTCTTGACTCCTGGATCACCTGAACCTCGCTACTCTGCTTCGCCTTGGACCATGGACTGCTCTATGTCGAAGAGACGGGTGGGTGAGAGCAGCCATTGGAGATAGCACATGGCGCTTCACGTTTCCCCCTATTGTCTTGGATCCGATACTGATCTTGTACCTCAACAAGTCAACCGATTCCTTGTCTCCAATACTGACATTGCCTGCTTCTTTTACCAAAACACCTGCTTCTTTACGAGCCTTGGCAAAGAATTGTGCAAGGCTAGATTGGGCGTCTTCGGCACTGTCCACGTCCTCCTCCTGCAACACATAGAGGACGGCAATACGCGCAAAGTCGAGGACCTCGTTTGTGATCTTGAACTTGGTCATCGGGTCCTGTGTCTGCGATGGGTCTGCTGCCGCTGAGGTCTGTGCAACATTGCCAGCGTCACTTGTTGAGGTTGGCGCGTTTTCGGGGCTTCCCTCGTCAACCACCAGCGTAGTAGGCGCGGCGGTTTCGGAGGACACGACGACGGCAGGGGCAGTTTCGGGTACACGGGCAACTAGAGTCGGTGCAGCGACCTCTCGCTTGAACTGGAGAGCCAGGCTGTCGAGCAAAGTCCTTTTGCGTGCTGCAGCGCCATCAAAAGTAACCAGGGAGTTCTGGGCAATACAGGACAGCTCTGCAGCATTGATCTTCGCCATGATGGCAGTGCCGGATAGAGGGATAGAAAAGTTTTTCTGGCTGTTCTCGATAAGGCGTGGGATACTTTTGCCGAGCGTCACGTTGTTCAGGTCGTTGCCCAAGTCCGTAGTCGTGCAACCATCGGAGCCACCTGCGCTGCAGTCGGAGCCTGTAAAACCATTTGTGCAAATGCATGAACATGTACCCTGCGACATGATATTTGTTCCACCATTCTGGCACTTTAATGATTCTTGGCATTGAGCAAGGGCAGACTTTGGCTTTTCATCATTGCCCAAGTTCTTAAAGACAAAAAATTCCAATGGGACAAGGACAGCGGCCAGAATTATGCCAACAAGCAAAAGTAGTAAGAGGACAAACGCCCACACAGGCAGACCGCAGCAGCGCCGACGTCGCTTGCCCTGGCCTTCATCCGAAGGCGTCATCTCGCGAAGGCCAGATCGTGAAGGAACATCACCCTGACGTGTCGGTGCTAAGGGCCAAGATGTCGTCCGAAACCAGGATCCACGGTTCTGTCGCTCTGGTTGTTGTGCGGGAGGAGGGAATGCTGCCAGCATATCCGATAGCCCTAGGACAGGTAAGTTCATCAAAACACCATATCCTAAAGCAGATCTTCTTACCTGAGTTTTCTTTGTCACCCCCTCGAGTCTGCCCCTTGTCGTCAAAGAAGTCATTCAAGTTGTCGAATCGGCTCGCTGGTCTTTTGCCAGAATCAATCATGGTAGCAAGGCGAGTTGCACGTCGGATCAAATCAGGCAAGCTGGTGATACTGCCTCTCTCCTCAGCCCTTCGCACTGCCTCAATGTCCAGCTTTGGGGGTCGTCGAATAGCCGAAAGTCGACTGTAAGGCTGAGGGGAAGGTGTTGGCGCTGGAGCTTGTACTTCTGATAAGTTGGTGGCGCTGGCAGCAGCATATGCACCCAGGATAGCGTCGGGGCTAAGGCTGTCATGAGGGTTTTGCGAAGGTGCCGACGTCTTCGCCAGAGGAAGGGTGTTAGAAGAGCTTGTTGAAGCATCAATATAGCCGGTTCCCGAGTCGAAAGGCTGAACCGGCGATGGTGCAGGGCGGTGATTGGGCTCCATAATGAATGATTTGGTAGTAACAATTGAGGGCTTTCCTCTCTTGCCGATGCTTGCACTGCGGACCAGCTTGCTCTCATCATGAAACTCGTCATAGGCGGAATCCTGGCTCTTGTTGTCTGTCTCATCGTAATACGAGGGACTGACTGCCCGAGAACCTGCTGGCCAGCTTTCAGGCATAGCCGCGCTTGAGGCGTAAGAACCGTGTGATCTCGAATTGAGACTCTCTTCGGGAATCGGCGAGACAAAAGAAGCGTGTGAGTAGAAGGATGATGCGCCCCTGCGAGATGACGGGGGAGGTCCTAGATTAGCGCTCGCTCTGGGGGGGCCCAGATTGACACTTCTTCTATTAGAATCTGCAGATGTCGATTGATTAGGCTCAGGGAAGTCAGGGAGCGATCCAAGACTAGAGGTTGTCATTCGGGAGGATGGAGAAGGCGGAACGGAAGAGTGATAGTCGTCAGACTCGGGTGTGAGAAACACTGGGGTTGGTTCTTGGAGTCGAGACTGATCCAGCAAAGAAGGAACTTGGCTGGGTCGGGGTGGTCGTTGAGGGGCCTGAGTCGGTCGTCCGGGTGGTGGTCGATATGGTTCGGGGTCGGGCGAATTCATAGCGGCCATCGGGGGGCCGGGTAGAGGCCATTGTGGAACTTGCTGTGGTCGAGATATGGCAACACCAGGATTTCCACTTCTATAATCAATGGCAGGCGCAGCCTTGGGTTTCGGAAGCCTTGATTGCGAGGAGGGGTGTCCTCCCATGGGACGACGAGGAGGAGCCCTCAGTTCGCCAGGCGGGCTGTCATCCATGTTGTCTGAGTACAGAGGCTGCTGTCGCGGATATCCACCTTGCGCCATCTCGCGTGCTCTCCTTACAGATCCAGATGCGGGTGCTGAGTCCATCCCTCTTCCATCATACATCTGACTCATTTGGTTCCTTTATGCCAAGTCGAGAGTTCATCCAAACCAACAGCGTAACACGGTTAGGAATCCAGGAGCGAGCCCCTATATGCAGTTCAACTGTATGTAGGAAGCCGCGAAGTTGCGAAGAACCGAAGTGATGAAATAATGCGAGTATCCGATGACCTGCAGCGCTTGAATCGACCTTGCGGGGAATCACTGGCACACCGTTCGTATATGGACAAAGCAGTCTGGGTACGAATTGTTTGGGGTGCTGCAACATAAAAAGCTGACCTCTCTTGGACTCGATCGGGTCGTACAGCCACAGGCTACGTCGAGTTTACGAGAAATGTGATAAGCGAAGTAAAAATAGTCAGGATGAAGATTGAATAGAAGAGAAACGTGAGAGAAAATAAGACGGATCGACCCAAAAATGAGAGATTGTTGCACGGTAATCCAGACCTCGCAGGCGCTGCAAGCAATGCAAATGAAAAATAGTCTGAAGAGAAGTGTTAGTATTACAAGGGGATATGGGTGGAGGAAGATGCGAAAGATTGAAGTGAAACAATCAAGATGACGTCCAGGCCATCTCAAGATTTTGTAACAACGAAAGGGAAAACATACCGAAGAAGCGAAAGAAGGTCACGACCTCATGAGATCGTTTGGGCGCGAACAAATCGAGTCAACGTCACAGGGGCTCGCAATCAACGACTAAAATGATGGAAGGGATCGGTTCCGTAGTAGAGCAGCACAGCAGATGGGGACGAAAATTCGAGTCGGAATCGAGAACCAGTGGGCGAAGGCCAAAGTCGATGCCGACGTCGTGAGACGAGGCGGCGTGTCACCGAGGAGATGGCTCTGGACGAATCGCGTTTCAAAGCTGCGTCTCGATGGTTTGAGGATGCTCCGGGTGATGAGACGATAATGGTTGTGAGTGGTGAAAGGAGATCCTATAGAAGAATAGAAGCTCAGGCCAGATCGATGAGGCACCAATTGTTTGTTGAGGAGGAAGGCGTGGTGAGGCGTTTGATTTCCCAGCTCTTGCTCTTGTTTCTTTTCTTGAACCTGATTATCTTATCTCTCTGTGGTCCCTTAGGTATTTAATTGTCAAAATTAAGGTATCAAGCAACAAGAAGAGTAAGAAGAATAAAGTTGGTCTGATTATCTTCTAGACAGACCCGTTAAAAAAACACAATAGTAAAGGAGAAGAGGTGAAGAAGAAGAAGAAAAAAAAGGTGCACAAGAGAGGCACAGTTGGAGAAGAATCGAAAGCAGTAACGAATGAATGTAACGAGGCGCAGACTACGACAGCTTGGGTCGAAGCAGGCTTGTAGGTACCGGTACAGTACAATAGGTAGGCACAAAGTGTGCGGGCGAGGATGGAGAGGAGGAACAAAAGCGAGGCGAAGCGAGGGGAGAAGAGAGGAAATGGAACTGAGAGGACGACCCAAGCCCCGGGTACATTAGTAGACTGGTGAGGCTTTCGGGGGACCCTTGAAGTTGAGCAAGCACCCAAACCTCACTCACTTGCGAAACAGGGCTATTCCGGGAGCACGGGAGAGGCACAGAGACAACGCAAACACTCACTCGATTGATCCAGTTATTACGGGTGAACAAGCCCCATCACGATAGCATCTTGCTGCAGGATCGCCATTATTCCAACATGGGACCACCCTGCTCTCCTTCACAAACGCCATTCAAGAATCAGATTCACTCACACGGAGCGCAACATGAACAGCAGACATCAGAGAATCAGAGATGAAGGGGCAGCGGTCATGACCTCTCAAAGGGGCGCATCTGGCCGTTGGGTTGGCCGTTTTTCCCCATAAATGCACGGGAGACAAGCCACTGTTCTCCCACTGGCTGCTCGTCCGTCTGAAGTGTGAGTCCCACCAATCATGCTAGAGCCTCGTCTGTCGAAAACCCCTAGAAGCCAAGCCCAGCCAGCTGCTAACCCAAGGTAAGTTAGGGGAGGGGATCCTTTGCAACGGCCTAGCTTCTCAAGTTTAGCAGAAACACTAGCGTGCTCTGTTCCTGCAGCTCGGGCCCTAGTCACAGCGTGCAAGCCACCTTTTTGACTTTTTGAGCTGCCGTCTCTCCTACATACAGTCAGTCTGTATCTGGTCTGTGAGTGCCATTTTCTCAACACCAAGACCAACATAAGACGAGATCCATCTTTTGTCAGATAATTTCCAGGGTTCACGCTCCTCTTCTGGGGGCCGTTGAATGTCTCAGAATGTGTCCCATACTCTTATCAATCTTTATTTTCTTTTGTTCTGTCGAGAGCAATTTAATGTGACTCCATCAGTTCGGAAGTAATCTTATTTGTTTCCTCCGCCTTTGACAGGCCGAGCTTTGTGCGCTCAGCCTTGCACCGAGAAGCTGAACAAATATTCACGATGATTTGATTAATGTCAATTGACACAACCGAAATAAACAGCCCACGTCACGCTACAGATGAAGCTAACTCGCGTGGGCTCGATTAGATGGACTTCCCCATTAGGTAGTGTACGGTAAGGCTTCTGCCTCGGACATTAGACGATCACATTGAGTAGCGTCCGTCGTTTGATGCTTAATGAGATTCAATTTGTTTGATGCACTAGCCACGGTCATGCGCGATTTCATACCAATTGAGTTCATGGCCTTTAATTTCTTCATACATATCACCAACAGTGACCAGTCCGTCCGCCAACTTGAGCCTGAACAACATGACATTTTGCGAGTTTAGCCTGCGCTTCTTAACTCTGATACAGAACTCGCTCGGAACCGTCGGAGCATCTAACAGAGTTACTACTAGCATATGCGACGCTCCAACTGTTATCGTGTCCGCATCTTACGATAACTCACAAGGGGCCCTGGAGGTTGACTTGTGTCGGCTGCATTTGAGTCGAGGTGCTGTTTCACCTTTCAAGATCTAGCTTCGATCGATTCCGTGCCCGGGCATAAAGGACAGCATTTCCCGCTGTGCGACAGTTGCTCCGTTTGGTCAACAAGATGACATTTCTTAAACATAAGTAATTACTGTCTGTTTCGACACGACGCTTCACCTGATCAAAAGCAAACAGCTGGCAGTACAAACGTACATAATTGATCGATGTCTGGGCGTTGGGCCCAGACAAATCATATTCATACCTGTAAGTTATCACTTTAGCTGGGTTCCATCGTCCTTCCTTGGCGTGTTTCATGTTTATCTGTGGAGGGGCCCTTGAACGTCATCAGTTGCCAGGGTGGGATGGATCTTTGTCAATGTCGATCATTCATTGATTTTCCATAGCCCGCCTGCCCGCTTATTCCAGGCATCTCTAGGGTAAGCTAATCTAATCACCGTCATGAAGCAAAACCTATTTGTTAATACCTAGGTACCTAGATAACGGCGAAATCTTAGCTTATTCAGTATATGGATTATACGGTCTCTTATTATATTATATCTAGAGACCTCTTACGACTCAATTTCAGTTATTTATAGTCGCGATATTCACTCTTAGTATAGCCCATCATTAAGACTTACCAAAAGCGATTGGATCCACACAAGTTAACGCTGAATAAAGGCGTGGACGGCATAGAAGAATATCCCAACACCGGGCACATATACATTCCAATGTCCAACGGTTGTGCATGTGTTGGCTAGCGGGTATAAGTTCCTTTCAGGGATGGGGCCTACACTCACCTGTACGAGCTTGGAAGATCCATCTGTATAATTTACGTGTACAGAGAGTATGTCGCGTAAGCTTACGAGTAAAGTCTTGAGCACTGTAACAGGGATGCGCCGGACAAGACATGCTGAGCTATTAACTTGTTCACAAAGCACTACGCAATGCCCAACCTTTCCCAACTCTTTGTCAACTCACATGCCAACATAAACTTCAGTAGGTATCTCTAATAAATTAACGTATTTTACTGCATACAAGTCATTACATTCGGAAGACGCCAAATTTGGTATCACCAGCCTTGACCTCGTTTCTACCTCCCATAGCAGCCTGTAGACCCAGACCCAGGTATCGTCTTGTATGTTGAGGAGGGATAATACCATCGTCCTACAAGAATGTTAGCATCGATTCCTTCACAAAGAATTATGAGAATGTGACTTACCCATAATCGAGCAGAGGAGAATGTGGCATCGCTCTCCTTCTCAATACGCTCCTTTAGCCCACCGTCGACAGTCTTGCCGACAGTCTCCATCACAGCAGCCAATTGCTCGCTACCCATGACACCAACCTTGGCGTTGGGCCACATCCACAAGAATCGTGGGCTGTAAGCTCGTCCGCACATTCCGTAGTTTCCGGCGCCGTAGCTGCCACCAACGACGACGGTGAATTTGGGTACATCAGCACATGCAACAGCTGTGACTAGCTTGGCACCGTGCTTCGCGATACCGTCACGCTCGGACTGTGATCCTACCATGAATCCGGAAATGTTCTGTAGGAATACCAATGGGATGCCGCGCTGAGAGCAGAGCTCAATGAAGTGAGCGCCCTTGACAGCGGACGAGGCAAAGAGGATACCGTCATTGGCTACGATGCCAACCTTGTGGCCGTAGATCTCGGCGAAGCCAGTCACGAGAGTAGTACCGAAGTCGCGCTTGAACTCGGAGAACTCAGAGCCATCCACAACACGAGCAATGACCTCGCGAATAGGTAGAGGCTTTCGCAAATTGGTGGTAGCAATGCCAAGAAGCTCCTCGGGATCGTGGAGAGGTTCTGAAAAGGTAGGCTTGGGGGCTTGAGTCTCTGGTGACTTCTTGGGCCAGTTGAGGTTGCTAATGCAGCGACGAGCCAACACGACAGCATGGGCGTCGTCCACAGCCAGGTAATCTGTAACACCAGACACAGAAGAGTGCATCTTGCCACCTCCCAAGTCTTCGTGGCTGACAACCTCTCCTGTCGCAGCCTTGACAAGGGGAGGACCGGCGAGGAAGATGTGGCCCTGCTCTTGGACGATAATGCTCTCGTCGCTCATTGCTGGCACGTAGGCGCCACCTGCTGTGCAAGGACCCATGACCACAGCGATCTGGGGAATGCCCTCCGAGCTCATGCGGGCTTGGTTATAGAAGATGCGACCAAAGTGGTTCTGATCGGGGAAAACGTCGGCTTGGTGGGGGAGATTGGCACCACCGCTGTCGACAAGGTAGATGCATCTGGACGCTGTCAATTCACGTATCATTTTGTGTGAGAATGCTTGGTTACATACGGTAATTTGTTTTCTCTTGCGACAGCCTGCGCTCGCAAATGCTTCTTGACTGTAATCGGATAGTATGTGCCGCCCTTGACTGTGCTGTCATTGGCGACGATCACGCATGTCACTCCCTCGACAACACCCACACCAGTGATGATACCGCCTGCAGGCACCTCAGCCTCCGGATAAAGCTCATGACCAGCCATGGGCGAGAGCTCCATGAATGTAGTTCCAGGATCAATCAGAGCTGTAACTCGATCTCTGGGGAGCATCTTCTTGCGTGCGATGTGCTTCTGCCTGGCCTTCTCAGGTCCTCCCTGCTGGATCTTACGGGCGAGCTCCTGCATGCGGCTCATGACCTCGCTCATCTGCTTCTCGTTCTCCTTGAACTCGTCTGACGACGGATCAACGTTTGTCTGAATCCGTGAGATGGCATTGGCCTGATGTGGAGGAGTGAGATTTGCGACAGTTCGTTTCTGTGAAGATATCTGCGTGCGCCGACTGAACTGGCGACCGAGCAGTATCGCCTGGCGCGATGAACGTAATAGCGTCATATCTGATCTCAAGTTTCTCTCTTGTTTGGTGATTCTGAGATACTCAATTCGCTTTGGGAAAACGTCTGCGACGAGAATAAGAGGCTCTTTCAATGGAGAAGGACGGAGAATAAGGAAGCTCTTCTTAATTCTCCTAAAGAATGAACAATCTCTAAAGCCGAAGCGCGGGCTACGCCTAAGGCCGAGGCTTGTGACGTCGAAAACCTGGGGTAAGCGTGCCAGCCGTGACGAGCCGTGACGAGCCGGGTCCATCAAAGACGGCTATCGAAGCCCGTGTTTTCCGGCCGCTTCTCACTCACCTCGGTCGTGTCATTTTCAAATCCATCTAAGAAAACAAGAGGAAAAAGAAAAAAGAAGTGATATATTCTCAATATCTCATTGCTCTTATCATTCATTCACTTCATTCATCTCAGTCTCGTACACCTTCACAATGGCAACAAGTGTACGAACATTCAGATCTCTGGCACGACCTGCCGTGGCACGTCGGTTCCGTCCAGCTGTCACTCTCCCTGCCATTCAGTCTCGCTTGCACTCTTCTAAACACCCCAAAGGCTTCGAAGCCCCTTCAAATGAGGAGCTCGATGAGTTGAGGGAGCGTGTGCAGGAATTCACACGCCGTGAGATCACAGAAGAGGTCGCTGCAAAGACTGACAAGACAAATGCCTTCCCAGCAGAGATGTGGCAGAAACTTGGTGAAGCTGGCTTCCTAGGCATCACAGCTGACGAGGACGTCGGTGGCCTCGCTATGGGTTACCAGGCGCACATCATTGTTATGGAGGAGCTATCGCGAGCCTCCGGTTCTATCGGCCTCAGTTACGCGGCACATTCACAACTCTGCGTCAACCAGTTGCAACTCAATGGATCTCCAGAGCAGAAACAAAAGTACCTCCCTGGCCTCATTGCTGGCACAAGTGTCGGCGCGCTGGCCATGTCTGAGTCTGGTGCTGGCAGTGACGTCGTCAGCATGCGAACAACAGCAAAGGCCGTTGACGGTGGCTACGTGCTGAACGGATCCAAGATGTGGATCACCAACGGCCCTGACGCTGATGTTATTGTGGTTTACGCCAAGACAGAGCCCGAAAAGGCCTCCAAGGGTATCACGGCTTTCATCGTGGACACCAAGAGCGAGGGCTTCAGCTGTGCTCGCAAACTCGACAAGATGGGAATGCGCGGCAGTAACACCGGCGAACTCATGTTTGACGGTGTCTTTGTACCTGCAGAGAACATCCTTGGCAAGGTCAACGGAGGTGTGCGAGTCCTGATGGAAGGTCTCGATCTGGAGCGCTTGGTGTTGAGCGCTGGACCTCTGGGCATCATGCAGGCTTCACTGGATGTTGCCCTGCCCTTCACACACCAGCGCAAGCAGTTTGGTCAGCCTATCGCTCACAACCAGTTGCTCCAGGGCAAGCTGGCCGATATGTACACGAAGCTCCAGGCTTCTCGTGCCTATACCTACACAACCGCCAAGGCGGTCGACGAGAACGGTCTGATCCGCACACAGGACTGCGCGGGAGCTATCCTGTATGCAGCTGAGCGGGCGACGGAGTGCACACTCGACTGTATTCAGCTTCTTGGTGGAATGGGTTATGTTGAGGAAATGCCCGCATCACGATTGCTTCGAGAGTAAGTTGAAAACCATTGTTGTCTCTTCGGTACCACTTTTGAAGAGATTGAGGGCCCTGGGCACATAACTGTTTCCTGAACTGTTCACTAACCATATATTCAGTGCCAAGTTGTATGAGATTGGAGCCGGTACTTCTGAGATTCGAAGAATGGTCATTGGCAGGGCTTTCAATAAGGAGTATGCACAGGTTTGAAGAGGGAGTACAACAATATAGCATTATACGTGGGTTCATCTACGAAAACACACGCCAGGATCAATGCATGAGCCATGGAATGATAGAAAAAGGCACCGAGCCAGCAGATTCGCTCAACGGGTGTAGCTATCGACATCGTTGATTCTTGCAGGGCCAGTTCTGAAACGAGGGCGATCCGATCTTGATTATGCATGCTATGATGCAAGAGTTGCGTATCATGATATTGGCCGGAATGAAAATAACCAACAGAACACACACTAAATAAGAAACTAGAAGATAAAAAAAAACCCCAGAAAATCCATGAAATTATCAAGCCTGACAAAAGTTTGTGAATCTCAGGATGCACCAAGCGACAAACCCCCACGCAACGTAGGAGTACGTAGTTCATGGAGGCTCAACTAATAAATCCCCGACCTTGGACAGGCATGTCTTGGTTGTCATTGGATAATTCAGACTCTCTCGCTTGCTGACAGAGATTATAGCAAGTTACGGAAGCATTGATCATGAACTCAGTGGTCGAGCACTGAGTTATAAAGATCGTGATATTTTGTCTGATACTTGGTGTTGAGTTGCTGGCGGTCACCCCCACCAAGATGACATTTCCTATCAGGCTCTTGTCACATCTTGCAGCAATGACAAGTTTCCATTTGTTTCCAATGCTCCAATAAAACCGCCCGGCGCAGAGCTCGAATAACACGCCCTGGTTGATTTTGCTTTTGATAACCTGGCCTGGTCGATTTGCCGAGGGCCTCGTGACACGATGATCCGATCCAAACAGGTCAGCCAATTTCTATTGTTCTCTACTTGCTAGTTCCCTCTTCCCTCTCCTGAGTGAGATGAGACATGAGACATTCCGATCGATCAGAGTGTGACTGCTGTTTATTATCATGTTTGTATGTACTTCTGACTTTGGCATGCCGAACGGTGAAGGGGTGCCAACACACCTCACCTGCACACCGAGCACAATCGACCCGCCACCGACAGGTTGAAGTGGTGGGCCTGACCATTCTTGGCTTCGTGCCGTGTGCATCTTTCTTTGCTTTTCTTTGCTTTTCTTCTTCTCGAGCCACTCTACCACCGAGATCATAGGCTATTGCAGCTTGCATGTTGAGGCTTTGAAACACCCGGCCAGACACGAGACTCGCGAGGGATGATTTGCTTGTCTAGAACGTCTAAACATTTGGAAGGTCGGTTTTGATGCCGTAGAGCGGAGCTATGCGGCCACGGGCAGGGATTGTAGAGATAATTGGAAGAGAGGAAACATTGGCTTTGGGGATTGTTGCATCGGTATCGATACCCCATGCTCTCACCTGGAGAGCTCCTTGGTTAGGCGAGTGTTAACATTGTGGGGATGTTTCTGGCCTCCACCTCCAGATCCAAAAATGGAAATCCGGGACAGTTCAAAGTGTCAGGGGTTACCTAGTTCGTGAGTGCACTACTGTACCTACCGCGATCGGGCTTCTATAATTCTGGGTCCTCGAGGTTGAATAACTGCTGCCTGCGAGTCTCTGAGCTAGAGTGCAGGATCATTCATGTTAGTCTCCATCTCGCTTAAGCCATCGAACATGTTGGAAGACTTTGATGGTATGATTCCAGTATGTTCTCAGTATAGTCCAAAGGCTAAGGTACTTGGGAGAGATGAAGTTAGGTCAGGCTCTTGGGTCATTCTCTATAAACTGATGCCTGGGGCGGGGTTCCCATCCAGTCAGTATATGCAATAGGTATCTGAGCGTCAGTAGGTAGGCTGTGATAATGTCTTGGTAATGATGGGTAAATGAGGGGGAAGCAAAGCAAAGCAAAAGAAAGGGAAGGGAAGAAAGATGAGATGGATGGGAAATTCTAGACTGTCAATGGTAATGTGCGTTGCCAAATTGGAACAACTGGAAGGGATCCGCGCATAATGATCCCCGTTGATGCATCATGGATTCGAGATAGAATTGTGGATTTATCCATCAAATGTCGTTGAGATGAGAAGCCGGGGGGTGGGAGCCAGGTTTTTAGTGGACTTTGGAGGCTTTTTTTGGTGGGGAGCTCTCCCGTTACTCGGGCCCAGGCCAGACTCAGACTACACGAGACCTCAAAATTTTGGGCTCAGCACAATATGAGCAAAGTCTGGTAGTCTACGGAGTAGGTACCCAGTAGCTCCTTTTAAGAATTCTCGGTGGTGTAGGGAATACATATAACAAATTAATCAATAAATGGGAGCTTCCCACCTCCCCCATTCCTTCATCATCAATTATCCTCCTCCACGTCAGCTCCTCCTCATTCATCCATCCATCCAATTGTCACCACTGTTCTCCAATTCGAATTACAGTTGACTTTGGCGGCATCATTGGCGTACACATCTTTTCCCGCTTTCGTTCCTGGGCGCTAATCAACAGTGCCTATCCCTACACCATCGACGTCAAGCTTATTAGGGAGCTCCAGCTCAAGCTATTGCCACCTGAGCTCACGAGTCTCGTGGTTTGGGCTGCCACTGTTTGCTTTCCATCAAGCAATATCGTCTTTCCCAAGACAGAGCAGAGCCTTCCCTTTCTTCTTCCTCTTTCACGCATCTCAGATTCTCGTGATACCCGCACTTTGAGTTGCTCATCGACAATGTCTTTTGCACCTGCTCTGCGCCTTTGTGCGCGCCGGATTGCCTCCCCGGCTCTGGTCCGCCCTTCTATTACGTTTGCTGGTGCAAGAAAGCTTCACAGTGGCCCTCCTCGCCAGGATAAGCCAGGAAAATACGCCCAAACTGACCCCCAGATCGAGGTCGAATACCCAGAAGACCATGAGCTCCCTAGCAGTGAGCCTGTTGCTGGCACTGGTGGCCAGTACGTGAAGCCCACACTTCCTACATTTTCCCTTGATGGTCACGTCGGTATCGTCACTGGTGGTGCCCGTGGTTTGGGTCTTGTCATGGGCCAGGGAATGGTCTTTTCTGGCTCTCACCTTGCTCTTGTTGACATGAACAGTGAGTGCATATCCTATGATTAGCGGACAAACAAGTCATACTGACCATGATACAGAGGAAGAAGCTGAAAAGCAGACAAGTCTTCTTATTGAAGCCTTCAAGAAGGAGAACCCTCGAGCTCGACGGTGAGTTCATCATTTCACAAACTCCGACTGTGTGGGACTAAACATGTTCCCCAGAACACCCAAGGTCACAGCCCACTATGCCGATGTTTCTGACCCTGAGTCTGTTGAGGCGTGTGTCGCTGAGGTCGTCAAGGAGCATGGCAAAATCGACAACCTGGTCACTTCAGCTGGCTTCACTGAGAACTTCGAAGCCGTGAACTACCCCATCGACCGTCTTCGAAAGCTTTGGGCTGTCAACGTTGACGGCACTTACCTCTTTGCGACCTCAGTTGCTCGCCACCTGATGGAGCGGAAGGCCCCAGGAAGCATTGTCATGATCGGTAGCATGTCCGGTGCCATTGTAAATGTCCCTCAGCCCCAGGCTCCCTACAACGCTGCCAAGGCCGGTGTTCGGCACCTTGCCGCATCTCTCGCCGTTGAATGGGCTCATGCCAACATTCGAGTCAACTGCATCTCTCCTGGATACATGCTTACTGCTCTGTAAGTGTACTCAAGGCTTCCTCTAGTAAAGCTGTAACTAACGTAGTTACCACAGCACCCAGAAGATCCTTGATGACAACCCGGATCTCAAAGCGAAGTGGACTTCTCTCATCCCTCAGGGCAAGATGGGCCAGCCTCAAGATCTCATGGGCCCTGTTGCTTTCCTGCTTTCTGATGTATGTGTACTCCATGGTGTTTCGGAATTCTGAACTGACCAATGATCCTTGACAGGCCTCCTCCTATGTCACTGGCGCTGATATCCGAGTTGACGGCGGTTACACAGTAACTTAGGTCTCTATGAAACACGGGCGAAAAGGAGTTTGGCTAAAATTGCACCCTGATTGGGTTTTCTTACAGTTGGGTTGGCGTGCCCAATAGCGATTGGAATTCGATAATGTAACTAATGAGACGAGAAAACTTGCACATCGATCGATGCCTTGAAGAAATGAGCACATATGCTTTCTATACTTTTTGGGATTGAGATTTGCCTGTAATTGCTGATTATCAAATTGAAACACCAATGTTTAACATGGCCAGAAATGGGTTCACAATTCTCAATAGTAATGTTATTACATCAAGTGTTGCTTAGGTACCTACCTATGGACACATTATATCTTGAGCATCCCTCTATACCAATGTGACCCAGTGGTTCTAAGGGGCTTATGGGTTCTTTGAAAATGTTCTATTTAGATAATTCTTTCGTGTTTCCTTGTCCGAAGTGCACATTTGATGGTGAAATATGATTAGGCGTAGTTGTGAACATGCGCGACTCCGTACTTTTTTCTTTTGCCTACCTATCAACTCATTCTTGGTTTGAACATGCATTTCTTGGCAGCACTAATAAAAGGCCAGTTGGAAATTTCCGTTCATCGTAGCTCAGCCCCTATCGCAGTTCATGGCCTACCTATCAGTACCTACTTACTATAAGTTAGATAAGGTACCATGCCGTCAAAGAGATGCCGGTAGGTATGTGACACTTCCCGAGATCGGATAGCTGCAGATTACGGAGTAAAACCCATGACATTCCCGAGTGCAACCCGCCCGCCACACCCAGCAAATGCCTGATGGGACTGCCGACCGAAACAGGATCGGGCTGCAGAGAAACCCCAACACGTTCGTTGACACCGATGCCATGGTACAGCCAAACAGCTGCCGTTGTAGGTTAGATCGGCTACAGCACACAATCACGTCTGGATGCAACTCTAGATGCAGCCACCGCGATTGTTGGGTATCAGTCAGATGTAAGGGTGAAAACTCTGAGATTGTGTGATTGTGCGTGGCCGTGACCTACTATGAATCTAGGATAACCTGGTGGTTGCAGGACAGAGATGTTGTAGTGTTCAGGGTGGTAAGCTTTGCCATGAATCTGGATCAAGTCTTCTTATCCACGGCATAGGTAGTCTATCGTGATACTAGATAGATGATGAACAGGGTGATACAAGAACAGTGTACAGGACCTACTTGGATCAATGCTCATAAATGCCACTATAATCATTCCCTCGTCGTCGTTAGTCCAAGATACCTTATGTACGGAGTATGCTGTCTTGAATGTCAACCTCATTTTATCACTCCATACCTGACCTGACCTGACCTGGCCTCCGACATCCGACAGTCGAGCGATGACCCTCCGAGTGATACAGATGGCGCAATCACCCTGAAAATCAGTGTCGGCCCGCGGTGACCAAATAGGAAGCTTTGTACTGCATTTTTTGATCATCTGCAACCCCTCCATCTCTGACAGAAGCTCCAGTCCAGGATCTCTAACAAGGATCCCCACAACCGTGAAGCTTGGGTGTGGCTCACAGCGTGGGGAGGCCTGTCGACTCGAGGCACCTGAAGGTACCTTACCTTACCTTACCTTACCTTGCACTGAACTCTCGGCCACGTGGGTGCGTGACCTGGGTGAGATAGACGATGAATGAAGATCTCGCCGCAAGTAAACTCGATGCTACCAGTATGTCTGTCGAGAGCAGGTCATTTACGCACTCATACAGGGTATGCATGTTTGCTTCCCCGGACAAAGGCCCCAACGCGGCGTGCTCATCATGACCATAGCATACCGCATGCACAAGAGCGAGCTCTTTGAAGCTCAAGCTCTCCACAGTTAGCCGAGTCTCCCAAGTCTCCAACTCTAAAGCCGACGTTGAGCACCTCCCATCATTGCCGGTTTCAACCTAGGCACAACTCCCCGTACGGGTACGTGTGACGAATCCCGCAATTCCTCTCGGCCGACAAATGCTTGAACTCTCGAGAAAGTTTACCTCTAGTCCAAGCCTAGAGACGGGATGGCTGGCCGTGAACCCCTCCTCCCATCATCTCGGCGTCAGGTGCCTCCAGGAACAAGGCGACCTCCGCCCAAAGAGTTCCGAATTGGTCTCGTGAAACATTACAGCACAGCTTGGAACTTACTTGGAAGCGGGGAAGAGCCTCAGAGAAGTGAAAGTCTGATGAACGAACGCGTTCATCGAGTCTGTGCTGTCCCATGTGGCTGATGTGGTCAGTCACACGACCATGACGACGCTGGGTACCTTATTGATCGACCCCGCCGAGAAACAGATCAGACGACTCTGAGGAAAATTGCGCCTCCTGTAAGAGGAAAAGACAAAAGGGAGAGAAAAAGAAAGGAAAGAGAAAAAGGAAAGGCAATAAAAGCATTGAGCCGTAGTGGATGGGGATCCCGGTAGGACTCCTACAGCCAATCCACTTAGTCAACCAGGTTGATCATCTCACCCGGATAGAGGTTGGTAGACTAGTTTATGTCAGACAATGTGACGGTTTCAGCTTCTGAGAGGTCAGGAGACGAGTAGCAGATAGGCGATAGGTTAGGCTCTGAGCACCTTGGTTATCTGAGTCGTTAATAACCGTTCTAGAACTCGGTGTGAAAGTCATGTTTCGGTTGGGTCGAAGATTGTGCCCGTTTTTGGGCATGTTGAGTCAGGGACCATAAGGGAGAGGGCTCGCAGAGCCGCAAACCGTGTACATGATCACCTCTGTTGGTTACGAGGCCAAAGCCCTGAGTGCGGTATCTACTGCACCTTGATAAAGGCTGAGAGCCCGGGAACTGGAACTGTCTCAATTCAAGCTGAAAGAAAGCCGGTATAGATCAGGGTAATCAGTTATGACCAACTTTCGATCTATTGAATCTGTGAAAGCCTATTGCCATGGAGGCGGTGAATTCATTCATGGTCATATATCATTCAGGCCCAGAAGGCGGCCAACACGAAACATCTGGCTCCTGATTCATAGTGACAGCTCGCCCTGCATAAAGCTGAACAGTATTGACTTGGAGGTTGATGATTGGCGATATCTCATTTCAGTATTGGCACCGTGACCTTGATGTTGAGATACATATCCTTGTCGATGCTGTAGGTAGCCCCTGTCCCCTTATGCACCCTACATAAAGTCCTTAGCCATAGGTGCGTGATGGGAGTGAGGAGACGAAAGGAAGTCCTTCAGATAGGTATTTGTACATAACAATTCTAGGGGAGACAAGAAAACTTGAGGGTAGTTGATAAAAACAACTACTAAATTAGAAGCCTTTCTACCTAAGCTTAAGCCAAACTTGTATGACTCTTTTTTATCACTTAGAGTAGAGGTCCTAAGGTTTTTGGCTCCCGGAGGCAACTGTACACAGCTTGTCAGCCCTACTGCCCATCCATCCACAGACATTCAGTAAGATGTAAGACAAGACTATGTACCTACCTCTATGGAGGTACCTACATACAGGTGCAGTGCCTAGAATCACCAAAGGACAGAACTCAAAATTTACATTGTGTATCCGTATCCATATGTACTCCGTAGAATTGATAAAGGCTACTATAAGGTACTAAGGTAATCTGGATTTAAAATTGGGTCAAAAAGCCCCAATCATCATCATATGTAGAATGGATCTCATTAGTCGAGGTCAGCCCAAGCCCATCCCCATGTGAGAATAGCAACCCGTGAGCTTCAGCCCATGGAAGGGCACGCACGTCACAGGGTGCCCGCGTGTCCGGTAGTTCAGGTTCCAGTGTAACCCCCCCCTACTAGCGTATATTTCCCACCCACTGCCCTTGTCTTGTCTTGTCTTGTCTTGTCTTGTCTTGTCTGTGGGTTCCAGAAGTTCATCAAGTTTGAGGAATAGGTTGGCTTTGTTGGGCTCTTTTGCTGCGAGATGCCAAGCAGATCTACTCGAGTATTACATCAATTAGATCCCGGTTCTTCCAATCTCTCGTATCATGTCATCATGATATAGCCACAAGCTTCTCTGAATCATTCCCAAGACAAGGTACTACTAACGAAACCCCAGGGCACGTATTGTAAGGTACTAAGGTACCTAGACCCAGGACAGCCACTAGAAGCCCTGCCAAGTTCCCCTCCGCGGGTGCCTTCCTAACCTAAGCTTCCTAAAGGTCATGAGGAGCTAAGCTAGGGAAGGAACAGCCCCATCGTCAACCCAGATCACCAACGGAAAGAGCTCGAGTTCCAGTCCAGGCCATCTTAAAGCCCATGGTCGAGGTTTCCCTTTTTTCCATTTCCCCATCCTGTTTCTACTCTTATTTTATTCTCCAACCAACCTCTTATTAATTCGACGTCTCCTTGGTATTTGTCGTATTCCACTCCACCTCACTTCTTGGTGCAAGTCCTAACACCTCGTCTTCCAGCAACTGCACCTGCATCTGCACTGTCTTCCTCCCTGACATTCGTGGCTTGCGTGCTTGCTTTTGGCTTCTCACTTACAGCTCCAGCACCCGATAGCACCTCGAGTCCACTATTGTCTGTGGAGGGACCACCTCCACTGAGTTACTCTACCCTACTCTACTTACTTTACCTACTCCTCAAGCACAATACAATACCTTAGTACCTAAGGTAGACTACGACGCAGTACGTACCGGCCTCGACAGCACCTCAGATGAGGTGACAAGCATCCCTCACCTCACCTCCACCAAAGAGATAAACGTGCTGGGTGATAAGTCGCTAGAACCCGGCCCCCTGGCGCCCTGGCTCTCCCGTCGAGGCAGAGGCTTTGTTTCATTCCGCTGTCAGGGCACTCACTCATCAAAATTGGATCATTGTGGCCTGGACCGGTCAGCGAAGTAGCGGCCTCTCCGGAAGGTACCTGACCTTGTTCGTCTGTCTCTCCACCGTCTTTCGCCGCCATCTTGGCCGACCAAGCGGACGGGACTCCTTTTCAATCGCTCTCCCTCCCGTTGTCACAAGCAAACTATAGAAACCACTGCCTTGCACAAGCTTTTTGCGGCACACCGATCTTGTTATCTATTCTTGCAACTCCGTGTCTTTTTGAAAAGTGC